AACCATATTATACATAAGAGTCTCCCTTTGGGAGATAATCCTCATAAATATAATAAATGTGGGAAAGCTCTTAACCGGTCCTCCAGTGTTGGTGATCATCAGAGAATTCATGAGGCTAAAAACCCATTCAGATGCAATAAACCAGGGACTATGTTTAGTCAGTCATCAAGGCTAAATATAAATAAGATAATCCCTGAGGGTGAGAAAACTTACATTTTTAAGGAATGTGGTAAATCCGTTGACTGCCGCTCAAAACCATCTCAACATCAGCAAATGCATACTGGAGAGAAAATACACAAATGTGAAGAATGTGGTACAACCCTTAAAGACTGTTCATCAATAAATGGACATAGGCAAATTCATACTGCAGAGAAACTTTACAAATGTAAAGAATGTGGGAAAGCCTCTACATTGTGCTCAACCCTTCCTGGGCATCACCAAATTTGTACTGGGGAGAAACCGTATAAATGTCAAGATTGTGGCAAGGCCTTTAACCATCACTCAAGTCTTAATAGACATCACCGAATTCATACTGGAGAGAAACCTTACGAATGTAAAGAATGTTCCAAAGCCTTTCGGTCATGCTCAGAACTTACTCAACATCAACGAATTCATACTGGAGAGAAACCTTACCGATGTAAAGAATGTGGCAAGGCCTTTAACTGGCCCTCACAGCTTACTCGACATCACCGAATTCATACTGGAGAGAAACCTTACCAATGTAAAGAATGTGGCAAGGCCTTTAATTGTCCTTCATACCTTACTCAGCATCACCAAATTCATACTGGAGAGAAACCTTACCAATGTAAACAATGTGGCAAGTCCTTTAACAGGCTCTCAACCCTTACTCGACATCACTTAACTCATACTGTAGAGAAACCTTACAAATGTCAAGATTGTGGAAAGGCCTTTAACTCAGATTCAGCCCTTAGTCAACATCACAGAATTCATACTGCAGAGCAACCTTACCAATGGAAGGAATGTGGCAAGACCTTTAACCAGAGCTCAAGGCTCACTCAACAGCACAGAATTCAGGGTGGAGAGAAACCTTATAAATGTCAAGAATGTGGAAAGACCTTTAAAAGTCAATCATACCTCACTCAACATCACAGAATTCATACTGGAGAGAAACCTTATAAATGTCAAGAATGTGGCAAGGCCTTTAACAGTCTCTCAGACCTTGTCCGACATCACAGAATTCATTCTGGAGAGAAACCTTACAAATGTCAAGAATGTGGCAAGGCCTTTACCCAGAGCTCAAGGCTTACTCAACATCACAGAAGTCATACTGGAGAGAAACCTTACAAATGTCCAGAATGTGGCAAGACCTTTTACAGACACTCAGTCCTTACTAAACATCATAAAATTCATAGTAGGTAGAAACCTTACCAATGGAAAGAATGTGAAAAAATGGCTAAGGAGTGCTCACCACTTCCTGCACATCAGAGAATTCATATTGGACAATAACCTTAGAAATAGAACAGATGTGGCAAGGCCTTTGACCAGCATGCACACCTTACTAAATATAGAATTCATACGGGAAAGAAAGGTACCTGAGAAATGAATAGAATGTGCCAAAGCCTTTAGCAGGCAAACAACCCTTACTGGACATCACAGAATTCATACTGGAGAGGAATCTACAAATATAAGGAATGTGAGAAAATGGTCGAGGACTGCTCCTCCCTTATTCCATATCAGAGATTTTATATGGGAGAGTAACTATACAAATATAAAATCCAACCTTTCACTGGATCTCCCAACTTACCTAACATCATAGTTATCATAGAGGAGCAAAACTGTAAAATGTAAAGAAAATGGACAAGCCTTTTCTGGAGGTGAGTTCTTAATTATCACAAAATGCATCATAGATACAAGCCCTTGGAACGTAAGAAATGTGGAAAGACCTTCATTTTAATATATACTGGAGGAAATACCAGAGAGTAAATTAGAGAAAGTAAATTGAAAGATATCAATGTTTAGAAAAATATTTAATTGAACATCAAATGCCAATAAATGTCACAGAAATCAAGTAAAAGGAATACATTAGTCATTCTATTCAGACATTACTCTGTATGAAAATGGTTATAAGGAAAAAATCAAACACTTAGAAAATGTATATGCTTTTATGTTTTGAAAGATTTAGTGGATGGACTTTTACATATGTATAATTTCAATATATGTTTATTTTTTCATCAACCCTATTTGAGATTTGTGACTAACAATATTAATGTATTTTACTCTGAAATCACTTCAGAAAATTCTTTTATTCCATTGGGTGTGTACGGCCATGTGGCTGATTGTTGCTACATCAAAGATAATAGATGCCCTGCTACATTAGGTGGGACTCATGCATACCTAATTTTCCATGGCAGATGAAGGACGGGGTAATTAATATACAACATACGAAGTATATCTCAATGGAGATGCTGCTTACGGTTATAACATTGATGTAAGATACCAGGAAATAGGTGTTCAGAATGCTTCTCTATATATTAAAACTAAAGAACTTCCTCAGGATTAGAAATACACGGTTTTACTAATTGTTCTTTCAGGAAAAAGAGGTGTCAGTCCAGTAAACTTCCAGTCTTTATTCATTAAATGCAATCGTTAGAGAGTATGAGTTGATGTGGTTGAAATGAAGAAATCCTGACGGAAACCCAAAGAGGAGAGTTAACTCTTCCCTACAATGCCAAACTGTTGTACCTACAGCTTTCTTAAGAATTTACCTCAGTGTTGAAATTTTTGGAAATAGGTACTCCCACATTTTTCTAACAGCACTTGACTGCTTTTTCAAGTGTGTTTTCTGTATTGGTGATAATAGAGTGGATTTGAAATGCATAACTTTGTCTATGTGTGAAATTAATATATTTTCATTAAGAAAACATACTGGTTTTGTTTTTGTTTTTGTTTGAATTTATTTGACATTGACACAGTGAGAGAGGGAACAATAATAAACATACTGGTTTTGGGGCGCCTGGGTGGCTCAGTCGTTGGGCGTCTGCCTTCGGCTCGGGTAATGGCCCTGGGATCGAGCTCCACATCGGGCTCCCTTCTTGGCAGGAGTCCTGCTTCTCCCTCTCCTGCTCCCACTGCTTGTGTTCCTGCCCCTAAAATCTCTCTCTCTCTGTTAAATAAATAAATAAAATCTTAAAAAAGAAGAGATACTGGTTTTTAACATACTGACATGGGTGTGTAATGAATGACATGTTATCCTACCTCCAGTGTTAACCTGTCTCGTTGAGGGTTGAGGGTGGCGGATGGAATCAATCACCTGTTTGGTAATGGAGTAGAATAATATACCCAGGAATCCATTTCCTTGGTGGTCTGAACGTTTAAATGATGTGTGATTATTTTTCCCCTAGTCTGTCATACGATTTTCTCCTCTTCGTGAATACTATGATATTATTACGGGTATATTACAGAGGTATGTCTATAAGAGGTATTGTTGATGTTCTAGCTCACAAACTCCATGATAGTGTTATTTGGCATCCATTTTGTGTAGCCAGTAGTTTTGCAGGGGCTTTGCACTGACAGGAGCCCTTCTCACTAGTGCATTCCCGAGACAACACGCTGCAGAGTCACGAGTTAATGGAACTTCTGGTATCACATCGGCAATCCGTCCTGGTGAGCCACCATCTCTCCTTTCTCCCAATGCTTTCCCTCTGTGTCCCTTAGAGAAGACTCCCACAGAACTTCCCTAAACCTGTTTTAGCTGGAATGGTATATTCTGGACTTAGCCTTGGGACTCTAAAGCATTGCACCATGGCCCCAAATTAAAGTATGTGCCCCACTTTATGCAGTGAGGTGGTGTTTTGATGTGTCTATGAAGTATACACTTGAAAGAGTACTCCTTGAAGTACACTGCTTCAAACAGTCTAGCCCAAGTGTTCATTGACTCCTCAATGAATAAAGAAATCTATCATCTCTCTATCTAAAAGGGAATATTTAACACCCTAAAAGGAATGAAATCTTTCCATTTGCCACAACATGCCACAACATAGATGGAGCTAGAGAGTATTCTGCCAAGTAAAATAAATCAGAGAAAGAGAAGTATTGTATGATTTCACTCATGTTTGGAATTCAAAAACCAAAAAAGTGACCAACGGGAAAGAAAAAAGAAATGGAGAAGCAAACCAAGAAACAGACTCTTTTTTTTTTTTTTTTAAGATTTTATTTATTTACTTATTTGACAGAGAGAGTGAAAGAGCACAAGCAGGGGGAGCAACAGAGGGAGAAGAAGAAGCAGGCCACCTTCCAAGCAGGGAGCCCGATGAGGGACTCGATCCCAAGACCCTGGGATCATGACCTGAGCCGAAGGCAGATGCCCAACCATCTGAGCCACCCAGGCACCCAAGAAACAGACTCTTTAACTTTAGAGAACCTGATGGTTGCCGGAGTGAACAAGGGTAGGTGGAGGCATTAAATTAAGTGGGTGTTAAGGACTGCCTCTGTGATGAGCATGGAATGTTATATGGAATTGTACAATCACTATTGTACACCTAAATCAAATATTACTTTGTTAATTAAGTGGAATGTAAAGAAAAACCTTAAAAAGTATTTTGTGTTTTACAGATTGAAATTTTTTGGTGGACTGACTGGCAGCAGTTGCACAAAATATACCTTTGCAAACAAATAGAAATATTTATCTTTTCTTCCCTTCCTGATTCCTCCCAAACTGAGAAACTCTCAGTGACTATTCGTAATGTTTATGCCATCATATGTTTCAGCTCTGCATGAACGTGCTAATTAGAGTCATCTTACTGTATTTCCTGTCTTGGTTTTCTCTGGAGTTAGCCTGGCTAAATTCAAAGTGCTCAGCATGCTATGTGGCTGATTATTCTCTGCTTCCCCTGATGGAATGCCCAAATTATGTGTGTCCCGAATGGGAATCCCTGTGAGATGGCTGCTGGGTGCTGAAGTTGACTCTGCCACCCTCTAGTGAGAGGAGCTAATGTCCTTTTTGCGTTTGGATTCATTTAGAATCTCATTGCAAGAATGCATCAAGCATTTAGATGGACCGCATTGTGAAGAGTTTGAAAATTCTAAGAGGCAGATGCGTCTGTGCCACAGGCCTGCAATCTGTGCTTCTGATACTAAAATGTAGCCTTGCAGTATTCCAAAAGAAAATCACCTTTTTGTAGAGTCATAACTGAATCTCAAGTGATTTTTTTTTTTAACATGCAGGTAGTTGGGCTGCAAATTGGGAGGTAGATCAGAAACATCCATTCCCATTGCCAGCCAAAAAACAACTGGAACTACACAGGCACAGGAGAACCACAAAGCTGCTCAGATTGTGTGACCCATTAACACCAGAAGAAGACCAGTCCTCACCAAAAGGAGTTTATGATGAAACTCAAACCAAGTAATAAGACATTTCTCTGGTGTCTTCACATGCCGAGAGGTCTTCCCAATCAGATGCCTTATTTCTCCCCCTGCAAACTGAAGGCACCATACTTGAGTTATTTCACTTTTTCCTTCCTAGTGTTCTCCATGCTAACTTTTTGATATATATAGTCCCTGAAACAAAGTTTTTAATTTTTTCTTTTTGGTTTATGACAGTTTAATTCTAGATTTTATTTTGTACCCTTAAAATAGAACAATTGCTTTTTAAAAATTGTTATGAGAGAAAGTGCACCTGTTACTGGTAGTGCTCAGGGAGGGGAGCGGCAGTTTTAGGCAGACCCCACGCTGGGGCCAGAGCCGATCCCGGGGCTCCTAACAACCCTGAGATCTTGACCTCAACCCCATCAGGAGTCAGCTGCCCATCTAACACTGCCCCCAGGTTCTCCGACTTTTTAATGATTTATTTTCATTGTAGTTAACACAAAGTGTTTTTGGTTTCAGGTATAGACTATAGTGATTCCACAGTTCTATACCTCACTCGGTACTCATCAGGTAGGTATGTGTACTCCTTAATCTTTGAAATGGAGTCTCACTGAAGGATTAATGCAGCCATTTGACTTTTGTTCCACTTGATTTTTTTTTTAAGATTTTATTTATTTATTTGACATAGACACAGTGAGAGAGGGAACACAAGCAGGGGGACTGGGAGAGGGAGAAGCAGGCCTCCCGCTGAGCAGGGAGCCCGATGTGAAGCTCGATCCCAGGACTCCGGGATCATGACCCGAGCCGAAGGCAGACGCTTAAGGACTGAGCCACCCAGGCGCGCCTCCACTTGACTCTTTTAAGTGGTTTCCATTTCAGTCACCAGGACAAGTATAGGAAGACCACTTCATATTTTACAATGAGAAACCACTCAATATTTTCTGGAATGACTAAAATAAAAAGGATAACACCAGTTTCCAGTGAGAATGTAGAGGAATTAGAATTCTCATATCGGGGCGCCTGGGTGGCTCAGTCGTTAAGCGTCTGCCTTCGGC